TGAATTGAGCCAAAGCTCACACTTGGAGAATTTGGTATAAAGCCTTTTCTCCCTTAACAACCCAAATACAATTCTCAAATGCTCTTCATGTTCTTTCCTGCTCTTGGAGTAGATCAGTATTATCATCACTAAATACAATATCGAAGAGATCCAACTATGGCTTAAAAATTCCATTCATCATGCTTATGAAAGCAATAGGGGCATTCGTAAGCCCAAAAGACATTACTAAGAACTCATAATGTTCATACCTTGTTCGAAAAGCAGTCTTTGGCGCATCTATTGCTCGTATTTTTAGTTGATGATAACCGTACCTCAAATCAATTGTTCAGAACACACAATCACCCTGTAACTGATCAAACAAGTCATTAATGCGAGGAATGGGGTACTTGTTCTTAAAGTCACCTTATTCAACTGCCTGTAGTCTATGCTTGTCCAAAAACTACCATCCTTCTTCACAAATAAAATTGGAGCACCCCAAGGAGAGGCACTCGGTCTAATAAAACCTTTACCTAACAACTCTTGAAGTTGGGCCTTGAATTCTCTCAACTCAGTTGGGGACATTCTATAAGGGGAATAGAAATGGGGCGAGTCCCCTGCTCCAAGACAATACAAAAATCAATATCCTTATCAATTGGCATACCAGACAGGTCTGTAGGAAAAACATCCACAAACTCACGAACTATCAAAACAGTTTCGATCGAAGGCACTTTGGAAGTATCACCCCGGAGATGTGCTAAGAAAGCTGGACAACCCTTACTCACCAACCTCTTAGCACAAATAAAAGAGATAATACGAACTGGGGCGGGAATACAGTCACCCTCCCATACCAATGGATCTATCCCAGGCTTGGCCAAAGTCACAGTCTTAGCATTACAATCTAAGATAGTAAAATTTGGAGAAAGCCAAGTCATACCCAAAATTACATAAAAATCAACCATCTCCAAAATAATCAAATCTACATAAGTTTTGCTCCCCACAAAAAGTCACAAGGCAAGACCTATACACCTTCTCAACTAACACAAACTCACCAACATGAGTAGAGACACGAATAGGCATGTCAAGCTAGTCACAATTCAAATCAAGTCCATTAGCTAATAAGGAAGATACATAAGAAAATGTGGATCCAGGATCAAACAATACAGAAGCCATGCGATCACAGACCAGACGAGTACATGTGATAACAACATTAGATGCCTCTGCCTCTGGCCTCTCGGGGAAAGCATAACAATGGGCTTTATCACATGTCTATCCATTGCCTCTATTGGGCTGTGCTATAGTAGTTCCAACCTGCCCGCCACCCCGGCTGAACTGGTGACCACCATTACCTTGGGCTACCACGTCCTCCTGAATGACGACCTCTATCATGACCACCCCTACCTATAACTACTGGAGATTTGTAACTCTGATCATACTGAGCTTGACATTGCCTCAGACAGTATTTCCTAATATGCCCAGCCTCACCACATCCATAGCAAGTCCTGGAGCCGAGAGTTTGTCTCTGTGAAGATGAAAAAGACTGAATATAACCCCCAAACTCAGAAAAAGGCTCGTTGGTCGGTGACCGACCCTCAGGTGAAACCTGCAATGAAGACTGAAGAGGTTGGGGTGGATAACCCCTAGAACTCTACCCTCTGGAGTAAGAACCACTAATCTCACCTCCTTTACGGAACTTCTTAAATGTTGACACCTTGGTGAAGTCATCTGGCTTCACCCCTTTTACCTCTATCATAAAATCAACCACTTCTTGAAAAGATTTTGCAGAAGCAGCTACTTGTAATGCTGGAATCTGCAAATCTTACCTCAGTCCCTTCACAAAGCGGCGAATCTGCTCTTGCGGACTGAAGCAAAGTTGAGTGGCATATCTGGATAATGGACGAAATTTGGCCTCATAGGTTGCAACCGACATCTTTCTTGCTCTATGTTCAGGAACTTATCTCTCCTCCTGTCCCTCAAAGTCCGAGTATATACTTCTCCATGAGGAAGCTAGAAAATGTTGCCTAAATCATAGGTGGTGCCTTTGCTGGTCGACATTCAACATGAGACCTCCACCACATGTTGGCATCCCCCTGAAACTGGTAGGTAACAAACTCAACACCAAATCGCTCCACTATATCCATCTTATGAAGCAGCTTGTGACAATCCACATGGAAATCATAAGCATCTTCAGATTCAATACCCTTGAAGACGGGAGGTTTCAACTTTAAAAACTTAATAAAGAGATCATGCTAGTCACTAGTCATTATAGGCCATGTAGTCAATCGAGGAAACATGCATGTTTCCAAGGACGCATCCATGCGGGGAGCCACAACAGCTGTATGTTGTACTCCTTGTACTTGAGTTGCTAGTGCAGAAAACGCTGGGGTGCCTGGCCCTGATCAGATAACCCGCTAAGATAAGTGAGATCCTGGTTGATCATCTCTAGAGTAGGCTGGGGTGGTGCTTCCTTCTCATGAATTTGCTCATCTTCCCCCTCATCACCCTCTCTCGCTACCTCGTTAGCCGATGGAGGGTCACTTCTCCATCTCTAGTTGGACCAGTTGCTTATCCTCTGCCTTTAGTGGGCCTTCTCCTGCGACCTCTCGCCATTGCTCCCCCTCGTGGTGCAGTCCCAATAGTTGGCTCAGGCGCACCTTGTCTTGCTGGTGTTGGTGTTGCCATAGTTATTGCTCTTGTTCTGACCAAACAAAACAGCCACTTTGTATGGTATGTTTGTTTCCATAAATGCTTCCAGGGCCACTACACATTAAGGTGGTTCTTCTGATTCCTCATATAATTTGATGTCTTGACTGAAAAGATCCCTATACTGTCTCTCAACCACTGTAATCTATCTTGTTCTAGTGAGACTACTTTTGAAGAAATTGAGAATGTTGAGGAATTCTATGAATCTATCTATATCCTAAGTCATCTAGAGGCCTTCTGTCACTGAGATCCCAGCCTTGGTTACTCCAAACTTCAGTGATTTTAGCCTTTTGTTGTTGATGTAGTATGAGAACATCTGGAAATAGAAACTTGAGGGCACCTCTAACCTTATACTCTATTTTACTCTCCAAATATAGAGTTCTCTATTTTGTTAGACATCCAACTCCAACCCAATTCTCTATTTACTCTCTAAAAAAGAATCTTCTCCTCTCTCCTCAGTATATTCTATTTTAATCTTATTTTCTTATTTCATAATATAAATCTTTTCTTTCTTTTTCCCAAATAATCACTTTATATAATTTTCATGTGATATAAAATTTTACTATTTCAAAATTTTTATATAATATAAATTTATATTTTATTCTACATTTCTAAATAACATAAATTGCAAGAAAATATTATATAATTTACTAATTAATGGACAAATTCAAATAAAAGTGAAATACAATCACATAAACACTCAACTTTCAAAATTATTACTTTACTCCCATAAATGCTCTACTAATGCATTACGAAGTTTAAAGTGAGCATTTTTGCCTTTAATTTTTTTTATGTCTAACTAAAAATTATTCCATCCGGAGATTTTCATCTACCACCATTTATGTAGTTGGAGCCTCTATGGCATCTTGAATTGGTCCATTAAGATCATGTTCATCCCAGTGTTATCAAAGGCGCGCTTAAGCCTTAAAGCGAGGCTCAAAATGTGTTGAGCGCTTTGCCTCGCTTTATGTGTGCTTAAGTGTTGTCATCAAGGTTCTAAGGCAAACATTTCCTTGCCAATGAGCCTCTTATGAAGAAGTGACACTAAATAATTGATATTTCACTTTATCATAAGTTTTTTCAATTTCTTTGGTCATATATTTGTCATTCATATTTATAATTATTAGTCTTGGACTAAATATATATATTATATATATATATATATATATATATATTTGTTTTCTTTTCTCCCTTTGCGCCTTTTTTCATTAAAGCACACGCTTTGTTTGCACTTTACGCTTTAAGCCCCTACATACCTTAGAGATTTTTTGCGCTTTTCGCCTTTGATAACACTGTTCATCCTCGATTAACATGTTGTACAGTATAATACATGTAGTCATTATATCATGTAATACTTTCTTTCTCCAAAAATGTGACGGTCCCGCCATAATTTCAAAATGTGAATTTGGAGAACTACTATTCAACTCTCTAAAAATGAAGAATAGAGTTTAAAATAAAGAGGGGTTGGAGTGCCCATTCTCTATTTTACTCTCCAAATATAGAGAATGCAGAGTAAAATAGAGGTGGGTTGGAGATGGTCTGAGTTAACCAGGTCCTAATCAGTTGTCTTCCCAAAAGGAAGTTTTTGTGGCCAACTTTGAGGCTAGTATTGATACTGAAAATCTGGCATAGATTTCTAATAGTCTTCCATACACTGACCCCATATACAGTGCTGACTGCTTTGGTCTTCCACGCATCTTCTTCTCCACACTTCTCTTTAATTACCTTCTTTCAGAGTGATTGTCCTTCATTTGTATATCTCCATAACCACCTCATTACAAACTTTGATTTTGTTTCCTTGCATTCTTTATATCAAGTCCAGAAACTGTATTTCAGCCCGTTTCCATTTTAGGCCTAATTAGGGACTTTTAAGTCATTAATATGTAATAATTAGACCTAGTATAAATACTTGGTTTCCTAGAATAACTAGGGTTAGCTTACCTGTGATGATTGATGTATTTTGTGGAGTTGGATGGTATCCAAACATTGATTCAAGATTTTTAAGGGTGTTTTCAAGTGGATTGATTCTATTTAAGGATATCCTATAGTTTAGGAGTGCTGTTTAAGTGCACTAAGTAGGGTTGTTGATATCTGTCAATTGCTCTTGTTGGTACTTTTAAGTTGTATCTTTTCTAAATCCCTTTCAGTTGCTTTCTTAAGTTCTTATTAATCCTATCCTAGCTTACATCATGACATTTTAGGCAAGCGCCAAAATTGTAGGACATCATGAATGAGGATTAATCAGAAAACTCAGATCAGAAAAGCTAGTTGCTTCTTGTATGAGTCTACGACATCATCCTAAAGAGAATATTTCAGTTGTAATGTCTCAGTCTAAGCTGTTAGTAATATTTCAGTTTACTGGGAATACTTCGTTTAATGTAGCAATCAGTTCAGGGTGCGTTTTGTTGGTAAACTTCTCTCTCAAAGCTGGAGTAATTGTTTCATTTGATATTTCAGGTTGCAGCATCCAGAGTAAGCAAAGATCCTCCTGTCGCTTTTGCACTAATTCGACCTCCTGGTCACCATGCTGTTCCAAAGGGGCCATGGGATTTTGTGTGTTTGGAAATATTGTTATTGCTGCTCGTTATGCTCAAAGAATGCACGGATTGAAACGTGTTTTTATCATAGACTTTGATGTTCATCATGGAAATGGAACCAATGATGCCTTCTACGAGGACCCAGATATATTTTTCCTTTCAACTCACCAAGTAAGCTACACATTACATTGAACAAATTGCTTGGGAAATCTTGACGTTTTTACTTCTGAATCAACTGCTATTACAAAATGTAGTTTGAATGAACGAAAGAACATTCGGTTTTATCTAATAATTGAGCCAGATCTAGTGATCCACAAAAATGATTATTCTTGACACTATGTTCAGTTCAAGGGTGCTTGGGACTTGGTGATTACTCCTCAGACGCTTTCCTTCATTTTATTTGTTACAAATGAACAAAAATAAAACACATCAATTATGATTGTTGTCACGTCCCAAAATACCTCCTAGATGCAACTGAGATCTTCCAAGTGTTCTAAAAGTTCTGAAACTCAACCAAGCCCCTTGAGTACAAACTAAAACCATTCCAACAAGTCTCAAAATTCATTTTCAACTTATTTGAAGTCTCAAAACACATAATGAGATACATATACTAAAATGAAGGTGTTTGGTAGTTACAATTATCTTGTCCAACATCAGCAAGGTTAATTTTTGGTTTGGTGGATTTGTTTGGCTCTCCACTTCTTTCGGTGGAAGTGAAGATCAATGCACAAGTCATAGAAAACAAAAAAATTTCAAGTATCTTGGGTCCATAATCTAAGGAGATGGGGAGATTGATGAGGATGTCGTGCATCGTATTGGAACAGGGTGGGTGAAATGAAGGCTCATATCCAGGGTACTGGGTGATAATATTGTGTCACCAAGGCTTAAAGGTAAATTCTACAGTGTGTTGGTTAGACTGATATTTTTGTATGAGGCTGAGTGTTGGTTAGTCAAGAACGCGAACATTTAAATAATAAATGTAACGGAGATGAAGATGCTCAGATGGATGTATGGGCTTATTACAAGAGATATAATTAGAAACACGACGTTATACAGGGTAAGGTGGTAGTAGCGACTGTGGCAGACAAGATAGGGATACGAGGTTGAGATGGTTTGAGCATGTGAGGAGGAGGGGTGTATTGGCATGATGGGCAGATCATAGAGTATCTTGTAGGATCTACATTAAATATTCTCAATATGGAATATGTAAGATTGATTCTTGATCCGTTGTTACTTTTGATTTTGTTGGAAGCTTTTGTATTCTTAGTTATTCGCCAACAGTTAGTCCTAAGTATGTAGAGACTAAATACTTAGGGTTCTTGGTCTTGGTTATTTTAGCTTTTTTTTTTCTTATCATTGTGTTTTTTATTTTCGCAATTCAAAAACATGACTTCACATCGGTATGGTGTTATCAAAAGCAAAGAGCGCAAAATAACTCTAAGGTTCGTGGGGATTTAAGCGCAAAGTGCAAATAAAACGTGGGCTCTAATGAAAAAAGGCGCAAAGGGAGAAAAAAATACAAATTATATGTTTAGTCCAAGACAAATAATTTATAAGTATGAATGAAAAATGTAAGAACTAAGAAATTTGAAAAATAATTACGATAAAGTGAAATATCAATGACTTAGTATTGTCTCTTGAGAAGAGGTCCATTGGAAAGGAAAAGTATGTTTTAGAACCTTGATGATGACACTGAAACGAACATTAAGCGAGGCAAAACGTTCAACATGTTTTGAGCCTTGCTATAGGGCTTGAGTGCACTTTCAATAACACTGCATCAATTTGAGTCCTTCAATGTTCGTTCCACTAGAAAAATGTGGAACAAATTATTCTGCGTGGAAATTTTTGTTTCAACTATTTGTCACTGGAAAAAGAATTATGGGGCCATATAGATGGAAGTGATCCGAATTCTACAAAGTTAGGTCAGTGGAAAGTCAAAGATGCTCAAGTGATGACATGGAATTTAGGGTCAATTCACCCTCTTATTGTCCTTAATCTCAGGATATATAAGACTGCAAAGGCCATATAAGATTATTTATATAAGGTTTACAACCATGACAATAGCATAAGACACTTTCAGTTAAAGCATGAAATTGCTAATTACTCTTAACAAAGTCTTTCTATTCAGGATTTTTTTTTTTGGAGCTCAAAACTTAGGGCTAAATTTACTAATATTGTTTATGTTGAAATACGTGCTGAATCTCTTTCTATAATACAAGCAAAGCAAGCGAGACCAACTTTTTTTTGATGAAATTGCGATTTGATTTTGAGTGTTTGCTCTAACTTGATATATCGTGATCTGTCTCCCTCCTTGGATATCTATTTTAGGGAATTACTTCGTGTAGAGCAACGTCTTCTCACACAAAACGTTTTCAAGCAAGAAAATGTTCAGATTGTTGCATTTGCTGCTCAAGGAAGAAGATATGGTAGGGATATGAGCGTATTCAATGCTATAGTTGCAAGCAATATGTACTAGTAAGAAAATGTGAGAGGTTGACTATAACAAGAGTTGGGAAAAATAGAGGTATAGGCAGAAGAAGAACTAGGGAGAGGTGATTGGATAGGACATGTGGCAACTTCAGCTTACTGAGGACATGACGCTAGATAAGAAGATGTTGAGAGAGAGGATCAGACTAGAAGGTTAGTAGGTAGTTGAGTGTTGTCACATTGTGTGGGAGAGGCATGGAGCTAGCCCTTCTCCGCTTCTTCATATTATAGTATTATTTAGTAATCATGTAGTTTCTTATCTTCATTTGCCTTGTATCTTGTTATTAGATAGGGGGAGATGATTAGACATGCCCTAGATAAGAAAATGTGGAGGGTGAGGATTAGCTAGAAGGTTGGTATGGTAGGTAGCCGAGTGTTGTCATACTTTGTGTTGGAGAGGCATGGGGCTAACCTCCTCTCCGCTTCTCCTTATTAGTAGCATTATTTAGTAATCGCACTGTTTCTTTTCTTCAATGTGTAGTACTATCTGTTACTTTATTTGCCTTGTATCTTGTTATTTTGCTGTCATATTTTTGTGCTACCATGCAATCAGATTATTCTCTTTTCTTTCAAGCTGAGGGTTTATCGGAAACAACCTCTCTACCCCACAAAAGGTACGGGTGAGGTCTGCCTATAGCCTACCTTATCCAGACCCCACTTGTGGAATCACATTGGGTATGATATTGTTATCTTCTTTTACCTACTACATTACAAAGAAACAACCTTCACCCCTGCTGATGCGCTCCTCGTTTCACCTCATTCAAACGTTGTGTTTAGAGGAAAACAGGATTTCTGTCATTATATGCCAGCTATGCACCTCGATGTGTAGAATTAATACAGTCTGGAACTTAACAATTGCATGGATTTTATCAGTCATGCTCACTTATCCTTGGATCGATGTAGGCTGGAAGTTATCCAGGGACTGGTAAGATAGATCAAATTGGTAGTGGAAATGGTGAAAGATCAACACTAAATCTCCCTTTACCTGGAGGATCAGGTGATACAGCAATGCGAACAGTTTTTGATGAAGTTATTGTACCATGTGCTCAAAGGTTCAAGCCAGATATAATCCTTGTTTCAGCTGGGTAATTTTCTTGTCTGTCAAGATAGTCTCAACATTCGAAATATAAAACGAAACATATGACTTAAACACAGTTCCTTTTACTTTTCTTACTGTTCTGCTACTCTGTGGTTCCTTTTTCTTTTGACGTGAATAATGGATCATGTATTATGCTTGTGTTTTCTGCTAAACTAGCAATGTAATGAGGGCGGAATATTATTCACTACTCTCATGCCTCTGTTTCTGGTCTTGAAATGTTGTTAGCAGAAAAGGATGTTAAAACATAAAGATAGGACTTTCTGATTTCTTATCTAACGTAATTGAACTAACGTGTCGTCTAAAATTTTCAGGTATGATGCCCATCTGTTGGATCCACTTGCCAGCTTACAGATCACAACAGGAACATATTACATGCTAGCCTCCAGCATTAAGCAACTTGCAAGAGATTTGTGTGGGGGACATTGCGTGTTTTTCTTAGAAGGGGGATATAATCTCAGTTGTCTGTCAAATTCAGTTGCAGAATCATTTCGTGCTTTACTTGGGGATCGGAGCTTGGCTTCAGAGCTAGACGATCCATCCTATTTGCACGAAGAACCATTGAAGAAGGTGAAGCAGATTATTGAAAAAGTAAAGCAAATACATTCCTTTTGAAAGCTTATATTGACAGTGGTCTAGAATTATTATACAGCTTTGTATAGGACACCATGACTTTTCTATAATTTGTATGCAGCTTTTTTTAGTATATACGATATAAATTATATTAATGTTGTAAATTCGTAACAAAATTTGTTAAAAGTACAAGCTAAAATTGATGAACGCCCATTCTATTTAATTATTTCTTTCTAGGATAACAAATGCTTATATATTGTATGATCCTGCAGAAGAATTGATGTACATATATATATATATGAAGGAAAAATGCAACTTTTGGTATTTCCTCTTCGTTGTAACTGTTCTTTTTCTTTTTTCATTTTTTTTTTTAATTTCCTCTTAATTTGGTTTATGAAAATAAAAAAGAAATCCATCAAAGGTGTTTTAGTAACTCAACTTTTGATTTTTGTTCCCACTTTTAGTATTGTGTTATATTATGTTATGATATGATGATTCTGTTCTAGCAGAGTATATCCCGTTCTCAATTTGAGAATAATATGAAATCGAATTTGATGATTCTATCAATGAACTCTCATACACAATGATTAACGATGATTTACTCTTTAGATATCAAACTCTCATACACAGTAATCAAGAAAATCTAAAGAGTTGACATCCCCTAACCATTAGACTTCTATAGTAGAGAAATCTAGTAAACATTGAAACCTGTAACATCCGACAATTTAAAATGAATATGAAGAAGCTTGAAATTGGAAGTAGTCATTTTTTTGGAAAAATTCAGAATCTGGAAAATTTGGCTAAGTGTGGAAATCAGTGAGTTTTTGGCCAACTTTGAGTAGTCGTAACTCCTATCTCAGGATGAGTTAGGAGTAGTTCCAGTTATGGTTGTGAAGCTTGTAGAATGATCTTTCCAACGCCACCGAGTTTGCTCAATTCCGAGTTCGTATGAGCGAGTTATGCCCTTTGAAAGTTGGGCAGTTGGCAGGGAGTCCGTCCGGAAATTTAAGGGCATTTTGGTCTTTTCACAAATCATTTCTTTTGAGGTTATATTGTTGTGTTAGGCTGTTTGTGGATCATTTTTGTTCCATTTTAAAAGTGAGAAAGTTAGGGTTCTTGAGAGTGAAGAAGAGAAGAAGAGGAGAAAGAGGAGATCAACAAGTTTCCGTCGTGAAATTTCGTCGGGGGTGATCCCTATCAAGGTATGTGAGTTATTTAGTGTGGGTTGATCCTTTCCCCCACACACCAAAGTCATTTTATAATTTGAGAAAATATTGGATTTGTTGGTGAAGTTGTTGAAGTTGTTAGTTGTTGTTGATGTTGTTAGTTGTGTTGTGGAAGTTATTGTTGGTTGTGGGACATGATTTGGTTGTGTTCTTGAGTTGAATCTCTTGTATGTTGAGGGATTTTATGATCCTTAGTGTTGGTTGGTTCATACCCCCACACACCAACTCGTTTTTAATTCCAAGAAAAGATTTATTTTGGTTGTTGAAGTTGTTGGTTGTGTTGTTGAAGTTCTTGCTGATTTGGGACAGGATTTGGTTGTGATTTTGCTGCTGGAACCTTTGAGGTTGAGAGGGTTTAGAGTTGGATAGAAACAAGGGGAAAAAGTCGGATTTTTGGGGGAAAAGGGCTGGGCTGTTGCGCCAGCCAGCACACCCAAAAAAGGGATGCTGAACTTTCCCCTTGGGGCAGAACGCCCAGCAGCCCCTCTGAAGTTTGAGGGCTGGCGCCCCGCGCCTCTTAGAGCGCCAAGGACGCCAATCCTTCCCGTTACCTTCATTCCCCACTTTTTCATACATGTTCCTAAGTATTATATCTATGTTTCCTAGTTGTTTCCAACACTCCAAGGTACTTCTAAAAGTCAAGAACTCATCCGTAACATGTGATCAAACACCTTGAATCCAAAATTCCAATTCAAGGAGAGTTAGTTAGAAGTCAAGTAAAGTTAGAAGTCAAGTGATGTTAAGAGTTAAGCTTAGAAGTGAAGTAAGTCAAAGCAAGTTTTTAAAGTTGTTCAAGAGTCTTTAGTGAATATTTTAGCTTCATTTTTAAGACTCGAGTTTCAAGTCAAGTCAAAAGTATTGAGTTTCAAGTCAAGTCAAAAGTTAAGAGTTTCATGTTAAGTTAGGAGTTTCACATCAAGCCAAGAGTTCAAGTAAAGTAAAGAGTTTAAAGTTGGGTTCATTTCTCAAAGTTATTAGGGAACTATGTATTCCCAAAGAAGTTTTAAATAAATGTTTTTACATTTAAACAAGGTTGGAAACTAAGATTCCAAAAGAGCCTTCGGGCTAGTTTTTGAGTAATTATCTCATATCAGCAGGAATAAATATGTTTAAAAAACATAAGAGCCAGTACATTTTTGGGAGTAGTATCGAGCACCGAATTGGGGGAGCGTTCAAAGAACCCACAGCCCCCATAGAACCATGTTAGCCACCATGGGTAGAAAAGGATCATACTTTTTAGATGAATCCTTTTCAAATTAGACTAGTGGATCCATTAGGGAGTTCAGGTCTTATACCTTTGGCCGGGTTTAAGATGCTCTGGCAGCGTGAGGTCGGTCGTTGTATCATCACTATAGCTCTTATATGATGGTTGTCGGTTAGAGAAACTCCCACAACAGTTATTGTATTTTCATACACAGAGATTATTGTATTTTTATATACATAGTTCATTGTATTTCTATATACATTTCAGGCTTATTGTATCTTTGTATACACACAGAGTTTATAACAAGTTTTAAGCAGTCTTTCTTTATATCACACTTGTTTTAAATTGCCTTATATTGAAAGAAGTCAGTCAGGTTGAGTTGAGTTGAGCAAGGTAAACTTTTCAGTTTCTTCCAAATTCCTTCTAGCCTATGTTGCTTAGTTTTCCAGCTCGCATACTCGTACATTCCATGTACTGATGCCAGTTGGCCTGCATCGTCTTATGATGCAGATACAGGTACCCCGGATCAGCATCCTGCACGTTGTTGATCCAGCTGAGCACTCCAGAGTCAGTGGTGAGCCTCCTTGCATTCCGGAGGACTCAATTATTTTGTGTTCTTAGTTTTTGTTTTATTAGGATGTTGCGGGGTCTGTCCCAACATCCATCTCAGTATTTTAGAGGCTTCATAGACAGACAGTCAGTCAGTTAGTTTTGAGTCTCTCATCTATATATATATGTAAATATTCTATTTTGAGATTCGAGTTGCCTTTATGGCGATATTTTATAAGTTAAGTTGTTTTGTAATATTGCATTGCATTGAGTTATTCTGTTGGGTTAGGTTTCCGCTGAGTTAAGAAAGCCAGGCCAAGGGTTCGCTTGGGGCCAGAAATGGTCTCTGGGTTCCGGTCTCGCCCAGGGTGTAGGCTCGGGGCGTGACAAAACCCTTCTCATGTTCAAGTACTTATGTCACAAACTTAAAAGTAGAAAATCCTCCCTTTAGTTTGAATTGCTTGCATGAAGAATGAGCGAACAAGTAAAAGTACATGAAGATGATAGATCGATGTGAGGTCTCCTACTTATCGATTATTACTTTGACCTTTTTTTTAGTTACAGCTACGAAAAGGAATTATGTGTATCAAATCAGGAGAGCACAATATTATCATCTCCAGAAAAATGGTCCACATTCTCTTTCATGATTAGCCAAAGGGAATATGGAGAACTCTTACCTTAACTACACTTCCATCTTCAACATTGGTGTATCTTACTTCTATAGGCAAAGACTATTTAAGTAAGAAAATTGTAATGCAAGTGAAGAGTGAGTCTTTAATGGAGATAAAGTAAATTTGGAAGATTTTCTTAATTTGTATGGTCAAAGTGATTTCACAATATCGTTTTAACAACAAAATATTGAAAAGTGCGAGGAAATATAGGTGGAATGCTTTACATACAGACAACATATCGGGATAACTCGAGAAATAAAAACTTTCAATTAATTGAGGACAAAGAATGGGAGAAAAAAGGAAGAATTCCTAGATTAGAACAATGGAATATTTATAGGAATTGTAGTTAAGAGTTCTTTAAGTTACAATCTTACTAAAAAGGTCAAGAAAGAAAAATATTACCTAACCTTAAAAATAATTAATGGATAAAATAGCATTCCAAATTTCTATTATAACGTGCTTCACGACTCTTCTTTTCCATAGTTACCACTTCTACGGGTTCATCATTCGTTAGACCATAATCGGTTAATTCATCACAAAGTTGCTTAGGTAAAATGTCAAACTTCACCATTTTCAACTCTTTCGAGAAGAGATTTAAACCCGTTGAACCAAGTTGTTCACGATTAGTAAAGAAAAAAACATTTCATTGAAACGGGATGGGAAAGTTCTACACACACATTAATCATTGAGTCATCAAGAGCATAGTTTTAGTATAATAGCAAGAAAATAATTTGATTTTCCTGAAACTACAAAGTTTAAATGGAAAGAGCTAAAAAATACTAGTAGGGACTAGGGAGTGTATCAGTTCCACTTCCTTTAGAACTATCCCAAAGATATCAAGAGATAAATCAATCAATATGATATTGTCGTTAATGCTGAAATGATTATGGTGATTCATCCAGGTTTGTGGCCAAACTTCTGAAGATCACCATAACTTTTTGTAAGGCAATTAGTCACAATTTATGACCAATTTTTATAAACATCACCATAACTTGGTGCTGATGAAGTCTTGGCCAATTACAAATTAAAAGTCTTGGCACCCCACAAGAATTTTTCTCCTGTTTATGACAAAACAATTATTTTTGCACTATTTTTTCTAACTAGATCTAAATTGAAATAACAACATACAAAGATTTTATTTGTTCAAATCCCTCAAAAGAGTCAATATGCTAACACGCTTGAAAACCATTCATTGTGACAAAATACAATTTAGTTAACTTCGGTAGCTCACTCATCTAAATCGACCACAGTTTCAAAGCTTGATTCAAAGTCTACGGGTGTCAAATGAGTGGGTTGAGCTTAATCTGGATGGGTCAAGATGATTGAGTTAATAAATGGTTGAATCGTTAACTCACCCAACAGTTACTTCTTTTGAGATGGATTGAGTCAAGA